TACTACTACTACTACTACTACTACTCCTATGATTTTTTACTGAATACTAAGTTAGTATACAATATACTCTGTAATTAATTATTGAACTACATTTTTTTATATGTTGCCATCAAAATAACAAATGATATTTTTAAAAGTATAACAAAAATATTATTATGAGTAATAATCGTTATTTTCATTACTATATAAATTAGCAAACGATCCTAAAGTATAAATATTTATCTATTATTGCATCCTTAAGGTCCGTAATTTTGGACATTGAATTTGTACACATGTCTTCATAAACATTTGTTCTGGAGTTTTCTATAATGAGGAATTAGCCGGGCCAATAGTCACCAATACTTTATGGATGAACAAAGTCATCTCCAATTATAAATTGGACTCATGATTCGATTGGTAGAACAGCCGACAGATATTCTGAAGGTGTTAGATTAAAAATTAAAACACAACTATTAACTTTAATATTACAAAATATAAACATATACCAATGTATACAAATTGACATTTTCAATATCTAATTTCATTTTCCGTCAAGAACCACTTAGGTGCCTTGATAAAACGCGGGGTGTATTTGGCCAATCGCCATTTGCCTGTATACAGCATATTCGCGCGGAGACTCAAAGGGTGAAGAGGCCTCCATCCATTGAAATCGGTAAACTTATAATCGTTTGCTATGTCTACGGTCGTTAAGATTTTTCCTGTCTTCTGCATAATGTTTTGATCTGCAAAAAATAAGCAAATAATGCAAAAGACGAATATACAAAGCTATTGTATTTAATACCGTAGATGAATAATTAGTATTGTTATCAGTATATAAGAAAAAAATAGCGAAGAGGATTAAAAGTCAACGTACAAGATATGATACTGATAATAAATTATATAGGCATGTGACAATTATTTAAATCTTTAATATCACTAATACAAAGCTATTGTATTAAATACATGAAGACAATTCTTTAGTATTGTTATCAGTTATAAGAACGAAATAGAAAAGGGAATTATAAGTCAATGTACAAGGTCATGATATTTAATAATAAATTATATAGGCATGTGGCAATTAGTTAAATCTTTAAAATAGTAGTACTGCAGTATAGTAGTAGTAGCGTTATTTTCTCACCTGTTACTAGATTCAGCACTGCTTTTGCCACAAACTGTGGTGTCTCGCCCTGCGATAAGGCTATTTCTTCCTATTTATCAAAAGATGAACACAGATTAATATAATGAGGTCTTACATAAAAACGATGTACAGTATTTTCATACAGTACTTTTATACAAAATTCGAATTTCAAAATACTGAGTTCAGAAACACAGGCCATATATTACGTCATTGTTGTGCGCACGTTCATTTACTAAAATCGTACGTTGACCGTAGTGGCTTCAGGAATTTGCCAATGAGGGGTCCGAACATATCCGAAAATGGGGCCCGAACCAAAGGGCCTAGGCCTATTTGAGCCCTGATCAGGGTCGTCCCAGAATAAAAATTCCTGGGTTCATGCTGGGGAGAGTTTTTATGGCGTACTATGACCCAAAATTGTTCTTTTAGACCACAATATTAGAGATTGGCAATCAAAATTAAGTTTTGGATAAGCAAATTAATATGTTCAGGCGGCTAAAATAATTGTGACACAAATTAGCATATAACTGTCCTTGTTTAAAATTACTGTACCTACCTCGAAGTTGAGTTTATTTTGACTTGCACATTCAAGTAGGAACTCTGTCTTCACCAGTCCAGGTAAAACCGATACAACTGCAACGTCATAATCCTTAAGTTCTCGTGAGCAGTCTTCAGTCATTCTGTTACACTGGAAAATGTTTGATAAACTTTTTCAAACAGGCTTAATTAGTAATCATTTATATTAATATTATTTATATTATTATAACTATTATATTATTTTTATTAAAATTATCATCATCACGTAGCCTAATAATAATAATAATAATAATAATAATAATAATAATAATAATAATAAAAATAATAATAATTATAAGTAGTAGTAGCAGTCGATGCAGCAGCAATAGCAGTGGTGAAAGGGCCATGGGGCGCCACTGGATAAGCTTCGGGCCCCTACACTGGGCGCTAGGTCCGAGTAGAGGGTCCAGTGGGTAGGTAAACCCTGCTTTTAAGTTCTGACATCTGACAAGAACGTATTATGTTTTTAAAAACATAATCTGTTTCTTAAAGGGCCCCGCTAGGCCAGTTTGGGGTGAAATAAAAAATGCCAATGAATACCCCAGGCTTTAGCCAGTAATAGATCATAGCTGTTACGTTATGAGCAGCAGAAGTAGCAGTCCTGTATATACTCGTAATGTTACTATAATACTTACTGCAGCTTTGTTGACGCCATACGCCGTGTTAAATAGCGGCTTGAACCCCGACATGGATGATACATTGATGATGATGCCTTTCTTGACTGGGACCATTAATTCGGCGGCACGCCTCGTTGCAACGTAATACGATCTGTGGGTAACAACAAAAACACTTTAACAAGGGGGGAAGTAGGCATGGAAGGATGTCACACCTTTGATGCAGTACGACTTGTCTTAATAAAACCGACAAAGTAACAGGGGTAAATATGAACGGGGGAGGGGTTTACCAAAGATATGACAGAATGTGAAACATATAAATTCATTTAAAAGTGTCAAGGTTCATAAAGTAAGTGTTATTACTAAATTTATTATGTGCATGAAGTCCCGAGTTTATATAATTTAAACGAGCCTTTTGTCTATTTTTTTTAGGGATTTAAAGATAATATAAGAGATAACCATGGTCTAGCAACATCCGGGTATATAACATGATTATTATTTTACCTCATTCCTGCTTGACTGCAAACATCCCATATTTCTAACGGGACTTCCCAGAACGGCACATTTCTCTTCTCTTTCAATATCTAAGTAACGAAGAGGTTAAATATTTTTTTTGATAAATGTATATATTAATAATATATGCATTTATATTATTAATATACATTTATATTAATAATACTGTATATAATAATTATGCACTAATATAGTATACACTGTGCAACAGTGACAATGTGTAACGTGTTTACAGTTGCAATAACTAAAACTTTATATAAACTAAGGCACACGAAAAAACGTAAAGTACTAACTGGTTCTCCTGAAAAAGCACAGTTGACTACCACGTCAAGTTGGCGGTATCTTTCGTCTCTTACTTTGTTGAATAACGACTCCATGTCTTCCACTGACGTATGATCACACTCGACCGGTATGCATATACCACCGACTTGTTCAGCCTAGAGTATAGAATTAATCATGATATTTTGTCGATTCAGTTTTTAGCCGGATAAAAAAAAGTATTGTACCTTTACTAAGGTCATTGTCTTGATGAAACGTAGCAAGTTGTATTTCTGTAGTGTTGGTACATTTTTCGGACGGAAGAAACCAAAACGATTGCTTAGTATGGCGAACAGAAGAATTTGTTTTCCTTTTTTGAGCAGTTTATTTGATTGTTTGTACTGTTTGTTATTTCTAATATATTATTATTAAAATTTCTAATAGGAATTTTATTAATATTATTATTATTTTTGTATTATTGTCTTTATAAAAATAATAAGAACCACTCTTCCTGTGGCAATGTTTTAAAACATACATCAAAGAACCAATCAATTCACCCATTTGATTTATTATTTTGTACAATAATGTTACTTTGATAACTTTGGCCAACAGCTTGCATTTGGTAACAGGCATAAGTGCTGTTTTGTTCCTTATTTGTCGCTGAGATTGTTAGACCTTAATGTTTGAGTTTTACTAGAGACAAATGCATTTCGTCTCTCCAGTTTAACAGCACGATTCTGCCGCTGTGAGGACACACGCTTCTTTACGGACGTATAACGATACTTTCGTAAACAATTTTCCATTTCATTCGTTTTTATAAAACAACCGTCTGAACCAACAATTTGAAGTTTGTTTCGTCGAGACACACCACCATCTACGTTTATAACTTCCATTAACGTCTGTTCGTTGTGGTACACATGCAGTTGTTGTGTTCGCAGCAATACCAAGACATGATTTTTGTCATCAACAGCAACTGCAATCGGATGCTGATTGTCAAACTTGACAAAGGTTTTTGTATCCACACAATTACCTTCCGCGTCCATTTCAATCACACTTTTCGCGTCTTCATCGCAAATATATAATGAACCTGTGTTGGACACACATATATCTGACGGCCATTGTAAATTCTTTCCTGTCGGTGATAAGCTTTTTATTTCGTCTCCTGAATTTGGATCAACAACGATGACGCATTTTCGTTCGGTGTCGCTTATTAACAATGTGTTGGCGAGTTTGTTGACGCATATTGCACTTGGCGACGCAATAAATCGCACGCTAAAGGATAACAACAACTTATGTGTTTTTATGTCATAAACTTTGAGAATTTTTTTAACAACAAATAAAACATATATCTTAAAACCGGAGATTGTAATCAATGAGACGTCTTTTGTTTGAACTGGAATTGATGAATAGAATCTGCCATCCGAGTCTAGGATTACTACGCGGTTACTCTGAGCTGTGTCTGCAACGAAAATGTGCCCGTTAATTGAAGTGCATATGTCAGAGGCGTTACCAAAATACTCAGATGATGGCCCGCCTGAAAACTCCAGATGATCGGTTACATAAATTGATATTGGTGAATACCTATACGGTGTTCTATTGATCTGCATATTCAGCTCATGAATCCCGATAGTTGTAGGTATGAATGAGATCGTCCATAAATTACCTTCAAATGCAACATAACATTTTTCAGACAAGCCTTCAGGACTTTGGATATGAGCAGAAATTGTCGGAATATAATTTAGTTTCTGGTGGATGAACCCACAGCAGTCACATGCGTACATCGTCAGACTACACGACCCGCCCACTAGAGCTCCTTTCACGTCGATCATCAAATTTCCTACAGGATATTTCATACAAAATGTTGGCAGATTTTCCTGAGTTATGTATATGTGGAAAATACCATTGGACTCTGGATAGAAAATTGCAGTTAAAGCACTTTCTTTTTCAGGGACCACTTGAATTGGAACATTTTGCCCATCAGGAGATGCCACTCTTATGGAGGTGTTAACACCAGTAGTTGTTTCAATCTCTACAACACTCTCGACATAAGCAAATGCAGACCGCAGAAAACAATTGTTGATTGGGATTTTGAATGTTTTAATGGTTACTCCCTCTTGATTCAATACGAGAAGATTATACGGATTCAAACTACTGGGAATGAATACTATTTTGGCAAATTGATTGTCTATTATACACGTACTTCTTATTACAGTCGTGTCGTCCGATTGAACCCGGAAAATGAATTTTTCTAATTTGATCAGGTCAGTTCCAACCACTTTTAACTCTACTTGGGATTCTTTACCAATATATGCTCGGAACGGATTTACGATCATGTCGTAACAATCAACAGTACACTGTACTGAATCTGTCCAGTTGTCTAATATTTTTACAATTACAGTATGAGCACCAACTTCTTCAGGCAGGAGACAAATGTCGTATGTTCCATCGTGGTTACCAATGACATCACACTTGCGGTACACAAGCTTTGGTGTACTTACTTCGGCGGTTAAGTCTAACCCACTGAATTTACAAGGATTTCCATCGCGATCAAATGTGTTAACCTGAACTTTACAAACTTTACCAACAATTCCGATGGTGTTCGTCAGTTTGGTGAGTGATGGGACAATTGAATAGAATTCAACGTTGCCTAATTTATCAACTTTACTACATAATTCTGGAAATTCGTTTGAGTTCCAATGTATTTTATAATTCGCCGTCATGTGCGTCGAATTGTTTCTTAGGCGTGTCTCAAAGTTCATATCACGTGATTTGAGAGCAGACGAGGCGCATTGTTTACCATCACTTGATAATTGTTTCCTAATACTTTCATACTCATCGTTGATATCAGTGCTTATCGTTAAATGCGTTTTATTTACATGTTCACACAATGTTTGCTTCCGTCTGTTGAGAACTTTTATGTAATTATCAAAGCAACAATTAATTTCGCGTTTAGTTTCCTCGCATTGATAGTTAAGATTGTCTTTCTTTCGTTTTATTTCTCTATCTAGTTGGTCTACCATTACTGATGTGTCCATTTCGGTCTGGGTATCCGTCGTCGTGATGCTGGTAGTAGTTTGTACAACACTCATACTGCCTGTCATGTTAGTGTTGGTTTCATTTAACTGTTTGTCGTACTCGTCTTTCTCAAAATCATACAAAGTGATGTTATGTCTATGAAAACCTTCTAGATGAGTTGTTTTACACGATAAGCACAGTTTTTTAAGACAAGTATCACACCAAGCAATGGCGCGTCGTATACGGCAGGCATTGCATCTATTCACACTGGGGTACTCCAGTTTCCCTGGTGGCTGCGAAGTGTGTAATTCCATTGACGCCATGCTTACGGCCTTCCGGAACACGTCAGTATCTCCTTGTGATAACAAAATTCTAACCAGTCCAGAATGGATGGATACAGCATAAATGATATCATATATTCTCAATATTTAGCAGAAAATGTCGCTATTTAGGCCTATATAAAACAGTGGAGCGTCATGTAATAGACCCTATAGCCGGCAATTAGAACCGTTGCATGCCGTATTCATTTCCAAAAATAAACAATAATGGACTATGGACTTCAAGGATTAGACTGACAATCAATATATCAAATACTTGTTTAATCTTTCTAAATATCATAGGTCTACAATGTGATACCATGTCTACGAGTACTATTTAGATGGATTTTGTATTAATTGAAAGTTAATAGCTTTCAATTGGATATTCGTACGAGAGAATGAACAAATAATACTGCATTGATCCTTAGATTAGCTGGTGATTTTCGTAGTCGAAGTCTTTAAATCTGCGAAAGCAGAATTGATATTTGTTTACCCATCAAACACAAAAAAACTGTTAAACATTCATGAGCGTTGTGGTCAGAACATGTCAGAAAATGACGTTAACAGAACGTTGTAGCGAATTAGCAGCCTTATATAGTTAGAAATTACGTTACCAATACCTAGTTATGATTCAAAAAAAAAAAAACGGGGTGGCGAATACACACGAAAAATAATTCACACTGATCAGACGCTGCAATACGGCCACCTTCGGGTTCCCATGGGCCAAATCTGAATTTCAATGTTGAATTTCACCAAGGACCTATATAAATTTACATAAATCTACAAATTAATATACATTTTACATAGGGTCCATACCAATTGCCAATACCGAAAAGTATTAAGACATTGGTCACAATTAAGTAGAATTGTTCACTTATTTCACTTATTCCAATACATATTTTATATTGCTTAATATTTACAATTATTATAATTTATAAGAACTACTGCGTCACATAGTAACAACTAAAAACGGTGATACATTATATGCCTAGAAGTACACAGCAGATAACAGGTCGGGTAGCCTAAGGACCTTTAGACCCCAAAATTATGTCCGATGAGTATTTCTATAGTCTTTATTTTTACACAAAGCTACTATACGTTTGGCACTACCGATTTTCTCTCAGTGTTGACTGAGAAAACTAGGCCAATAGTCGTTTCAGAGGTTGACTATTTAACTCCTGAAAAAATAACAAATGTCCACACAAAAAAAAATGGCTTCGCGTCGACATCATTAGGAGCATTGCTGTTCTGTAATTCGTTCGTTAATTGAACTCAAATCTGAACAGCTTTGAGATTTTCTATCTCCTCCCTGAAATTTAAAACACAACATCCGACACAATGAGTCAGGGCTTGTATTTGCACTTCTTGAAGAAATCAAGAGCGATCCACTAGAGGAAAACAGGCGTCCTCTACGTCGACCAATTCTACGCGATGGCGAGAAAATTTCGGCGTTTGTCGATGTTTCTATAGACGCATAATGATACCGCCGTAAACAATTTTCTTTCTCATTCGTTTTGATGCAGTATCCGTCCGGCATAATCTGCAGCTTGCTTCTTCTTGACATTCCACCGCCAGCTTTCAATATCCCCACGATTTTACGATCCATACCGTACAGGCACATCTGCTGCGCTCTTAGTAAAACTAACAACCGGTAATCATCATCAACAGAAACAGCGATTGGGTCTTTTATTCCCCCCTCAGCTCCAAAGGGTTTGCCAATGAAGCCCCGCTTGTCCATCACAACAACCTTACCAGCGTCTGTGTCACAAACGTATACAGTACCCATATTATCTACACAAACATCCGAAGGCCAATGTAGAGTGCTTCCAACCGGTCTGATTTGATACTTTTCTTTACAATTCTCTGGATCAATAACTAATAGGCACTTTTGTTCTGTGTCGCTTATTAAAAGTGTATTGTCATTTTTGTCGAAAACCAACGCACTTGGCGCACCAACGCCGTTCATAAAAACAGACATCACACGTTTTCGTTTACATATGTCATACACTTCCATTATTTTCTTAACAATACATAACACATAGAGTTTTGTTCCACATATATTGCTTGCAATTAAGGAAACATCTTTTGTCTTAACGGGAATTGACGAATGGAATCTGCCATCTGTATCAAGGATTACGATGCGGTTATTCTGTGCTGTGTCTGCAATGAAGATAAGTCCATCAACTGAAGTACAAATATCAGATGCACTGCCGAAAAATTCAGAAGACGGTCCTCCACAGATTTCTACGTGGCCGTTCACTTCTATTTTGATTGGTGATTCCCTGAACACGACGTCATCTAAAAACAATACCATGTGATAGTAGCCAACTAACCGAGGAAGATATGAAATTTTCCACGACCCGTCTTTAAATGTAACGTCACAGTTTTCCATAGATCCATTTGGACTTGAGAGTTGAGCTGTTAATTTCATGTCTCCTGCAATGTCTTTAAGCAGAAACCCCGAACAATCGCATGCATCGATGTTAACAGTGCATATGCCATTGACCACGGCACTCTTTACATCTACGACCAGAGCACCAACTGAAATATTGGTACACAGTACTGTGATGCCATCTCTCTTAACTTGCAATCTCAATGTACCTTTAGTTTCAGGAATGAATTTATATGTGTGTGTGCCTCTTTCGCCTCCCATAAACGCAATGTGGACGTCTTGTCCGTCAAAAGTTTCGATTCGTACGTCCATATCAGCGACCTCCATATGATCTAAGGTCATAGAACACTCAACATTTGCAAAGACAGGTCCGAGAGTCAGCCTCCCTACGCATATATTATAACTACTAATAACATCTCCAGTTGAAGACCGAATCAAAAGTACATGGCTCTCTGCAGAGACCGGTGTGTAGGTTAAATACATCGAACCGTTGTCAATAGTGCAGGTAGTATCGACTGGATCACCAGAGTTTGTCAGTATAATTCCAGATATTGATGACAGATCTGGAAAAGAGGAAGTGTCATGGAAGCAAATAGATACTTTTGATTCAACGTTGACAAACGCAGGATACAGTGTAGCAACAATATTAAAAACTTGAACTCCGACGTTTATAGAATGTTGGGATGTATTTCCGATGCACATGGTAATGTTATATGTGCCATGGTGGGTTGGCAAGAAACACACGTGATAAGTGCCGTCGTTATTGTCAATTACATCACATTCCAATGCGCGTTCTGGGACCTCATCATACACAGAAACTTTTAATGTCATTCCACCAGATATACAACGAGTTCCATAAGGAGTGAATGTGATCATCTTTAATCGATAGGTGTGACCGACGCATCCGATCCCGTATAATATTTGTGTCTTGTACGGCACCACCGACAACATATTCACAACTGTTACTGTATCTAATTCCGATATGATATCTTCTAGTCTGGTTGAGTTCCAAAGAAATGTATAATCTGCAGACAAGTAGCTTAAGTCAAAATTGTTGAAGCTGTTCTGGGAATCGTCTGCATGCATCTGTGAATCGTTCAAATAATTCTCCTCAATGAAGTCATATTCAAGTTTTATATTGTGTTCTATGCTTGATTTTGATTGCATTACTTGTTGACATAAGATATTTTGCCGTTCTTTTAATTTTCTGTAGCATTCCTGGAAGAAAATGTCAATTTCACGGAGGGTGTTATCAGCATTTGTCGAAACGTTGGAGCAGGTTACTTGCATGCGTTGCTTTAGTTCCTCAATTGATAAGCCTGTACTGTGTTGTTCACTTCCACGAAACTTGTTAATCCCACCGTGACTAGATTTCCATTGAGCCAAATTATTCTTAACACTATTACCACTGCTAGCCTGATTGATCAGGACGCGTGCGCAGGCTTTATTTCTAGCGTCTTCATATTGCTCTTGCGCTGTAGCTCCCAAGGTAGGTCTACGTGTGCCCAATGTCTGTTCATGTTCAAATTTTTTGCAATTATTACGAACGATATTGCCTGGGATTTCTTCGACGGATAGGCCTGTATGTCGTTCACTTCCACGAAACTGTTCAATCCCACCGTCATTGGATTTCCATTGAGCCGAATTGCTGTTTAAACTTTCGGAACTACAAGTCTGATTTAACAGGACGCGTGCACAGGCTTTATTTTTAGATTCTTCATATTCCTCTTGGGCTGTGGCTCCTAAGGTAGGTCTTCGGGTGCTCAATGAAACAGTTTGTTCTTGTCCAAATTGTGTGTAATTATTACAAACGATTTGGTCTGTGAGTTCCTCGATTGGTAGGCCTATATGTCGTCCACTTCCACGGAACTGTCCAATTCCGTCGCTATGGGATTTCCATTGGGCCGAATTGTTGTTTGAACTGTCGACACTGCCAGTCTGATCAATCAGGGCGCGTGCGCAGGCCTTACTTCTAGCGTCTTCATATTCCTCTTGGGCCGCAGCTCCCAAGGTAGGTCTACGTGTGCCCAATGAAACAGTCTGTTCTTCTTCCAATTCTGTGCAATTGTTACGAACGATTTTGCCTGTGAGGTCATTTGGTTTTCTGGAATTCTTCACTTTATTTACCACTGCATGCTTACGGAACATTCTTGCAAGTTCACGGTTAGGGCTAAAATTCTATGTTGCAAGATCCACAGCAGACCTAAATTTATCTTTTATACCCACTGAATTTAGCTCTGTATATAAACTGATGGTACCCGAACTCGGCTGTTAGTAGTCCCGATAATAGGTTAACATGTATTGTGTTTCGAAATGTAACTCTAGTTATCACTACTTAAATAGCTTTTTGGTTTCCTCCAACCGGACGTGTTTCATCCTGGTTTCATACTGGAATGGTAGACCTAATCCTGGCACAGTACTTCAATCTGTCAAGGCAACGTCAGCGTGACCATGTTGTAATGAATTCACGATGATTTATATTATTATATAGCAATATTATTATATAAGGATGTCTCTTATCGACTTAAACAATATCGTCAAATAAAGAGGGTGAGGTCATATCTTAATGCCTGATTAGTGCATCTATATTGTATTACATACATCACATGCAAACAACATGTTTTTTGTCGATTGACGTTGGATACGAGCATACGTAGTTCACAATGCGCAATGGCTTATTTTGTATAATTCTTTTTTGTGTTAATTGTATATATGGATGTACAGTACATAGATGCCTAATTCTGAAAACATATGACTGATCAACAGCTTGAACTTCTTATTGGTTCTTAGTTTTACTCCTCTTTACGTTCAATAAACGTTATGCCTACAATATCATCTTGACCTTGGAAATATATAGGCGCCTACTAACAATATTGCAATAATGGACATATCCCTATATACATTCATAAGAGACGTGGTCCGTTTACTAGGTAACGGTAGGCCACTAATATATCCTAAAATAAACATGTGTCATCTCATCCATGGGTTGAATTGTGGCCTGAACCCACATCCGTGTTAAGAGATACTCCTGGGCATTTACCTCTTTTTTTAAAACTTGATATGACGAGGCACCCTTTTTAAAATATCGTCATAAAACAATTCGGACAGTTGAATATGGATCAATAATTTCCTACATTCTATGTAACATTCACGTGTTACTGAGTACAAGTTTAATTTTTATCACAGTAATAAATGTTTGGCATGGTTTTATATATTCGTTAAAGAAGACACTGGTATTTTGTTTGTATAATCAACCAGTGAGACTAGGCATTGAAAACGACCTACTTTTTCTATTATTAACATTATTATTAATATTTGTATTGCCAATATTATTATTATTATTATTTTCATTTTCATTATCATTATCATTATCATTATCATTATCATTATTATTATTATTATTATTATTATTATCATTATTATTATTATTATTATTATTATTATTATTATTATTATTATTATTATTATTTTCATTGTTGTTGGTGTTGATGTACATCAATTAAATTTATTCATAGGCCTACCTCCTTTACTGTATTTTGAAGACACGCAATAAGAGTTTCATTTCCACCATCGGTCTTCACTGGACCTGTGTAAAACAAAATCCGCCAAATGCAGGCCGTTTATTGTTTACTTTTAAATTGGCGGAAATCGGTCACGGATATCAGCCTTATATGCCTCATTACCCCATTTTTTTGTCAATGTTTAAATAAAAATTAATTAGGCTTTGCCTATATGGTATTGAGTTTGAAAATTATTGTGGTATTCTTAAGATGTATTTTTTGTCTGCTACTACACCTGTCTCTTATACACATCTAGATGTGTATAAGAGACAGAGTCTGGTTGAGTTCCAAAGAAATGTATAATCTGCAGACAAGTAGCTTAAGTCAAAATTGTTGAAGCTGTTCTGGGAATCGTCTGCATGCATCTGTGAATCGTTCAAAAAATTCTCCTCAATGAAGTCATATTCAAGTTTTAAATCGCCCCCGCTTCTGCCAGTGCGACTGCTACCGCCTTTCCTATCCCCTCTGCGGCTCCTGTAACCACACATATCTTGCCTGATAAAGGAACCATCGATAATATATCCTGTAAATAAAACGTGATTACAAGATCAGGTCATCTATAACCGTGTGTGATTAGTTAACACTTGAATAGACATGGGATACATTAAATTGTTCTAAAATTCCAGTGGTACGTGGCCCCAGAAATTTGGCAAACCGGGGGTCCGATATTTCTGACACTGGGGTTTCGAACCAAGTGGCCAACTAGACCCTCGATCGGGTCCCGAAATAAATATCCCTAGAAGGGTTTAAGGGCGATTTGTATGGCTTATGGTCAAATTGTGCTTTTATACCACAATATTAGGGATTGGCAATCAAAATAAAGTTAGTATTTGGATAACAAATTATTATTTTTGGTCCAAAGACCTCGTCGTGGTGTCGGACTACTGGGGGTCCAGGCCTGTACGAAGTGGGGAAACCTCTTCTGGCTCCACCAATGCTAAATGCATTATTTATTAATTCATTCATTTATCCATCTATTAATTTATTCATTTTTTTCATGTATGCATTCATTCATTTATCAATTTTATCAACCATTCATCCATCCATTCATTCGTTCGTTCGTTTGTTGATCATACATTCATTCATGATTTTTTTTTAAAATCCTGATCAACCTGTTCAGTATCACTCTCACATACACAAAGTATTAACATATAGGCCTAGATATATTTATGAAATAAATTAAATATTATAAGTGGCCCAGGATTTGAAGGCAAACTTACCAACCACCACGCTAAAATTACATTAAACTATTAATTAAAAATTAATATTCGCACCACAAAAATGGTTGGAATAGGCCTATCAACAGCAGGGAAGCTTATTTCAAAAAGTGCATATTTAATTGCAGAATATATCCATGCCGTTTGTTTTGTCCCGCCAATGTTTGAGCTCATACAACGTGTTTTGTTTTGTTTAAGTGGCACAATAGACCAAACCATGTCATTAGAATTGTTTCATTTTTTCCCCTTTATAATAATTAAAATCCATAGGACTATGTTACATTGACAGTCACTATAATACCATAGAAACTTTTCCCGCCGATTGAATATAAACGAGCGGTACTGGGTAAAGATAATTATAGTTCCTTGTAACCAACGCATTCTATCATAGCGGGTAATTCACCACAGTAGGCCTATATCCAGACAGGGGGTTATAGAGGAAGTAGTCAGCGACAGTATATCAAGCCAGTTATACCAGTAAAAAGTGAACCGATCTGCTAATAAAAATGCTACGTATCACTGTATTACTGTAGTAGTAGCAGCAGCATCGTGTTGAAGACACAGTGATAGGCATAATCAGCCAGGGCGGCCAATACATTAAAATTATGAACATACAATAATTAGTAACAATTAAAGGACAACATAACAAGCTAATCTGTGTTAAATACGGTGACAGGCCAGAACATTTATGCTAAAAAATTCTCAAAATTATTAATGGAAAAGGTCATAGCTGCGTAATAGACAGGCCTACTGTAATACGGGCATTCTATTGTTTTATCCATAAAATATAAGGCTTATTGATATAAGTTGGTTAGTGCATACTGGTAGATCTAATATTTATAGAGATTATACATGCTTTGACTTTATTTACATAACACTTAAAAAATACAAGTCTAGACATACCGTTTCAATAGGCTAAAGGTGGTCCAAGCAGCACGATTTGTTGTATTATTTAAAGAATATAGTGCGTCGACACTAAACACCACTAGCATCATGCCACTTTATGATATGAATCAAAATATTCCATATAAATAAACAGTCTTTAAGAGGAACAGGGTAGGTGATGCCAAGACATGTTGTGAAGTGTCTATATGCAAATGATATTGATAATTGCGTCATGGTAATGACAAGAGCTTGGAAGTTGCTGGTACTTAGAATAATACTAGCAAAGAAAATATACGGTAGGCCTATAATATAGGGGTCAATATAGTCTTGGTACCTTGTGCCACGTTCATTTGCAGTAGGTATTTATCAGGAGCGAATTCGAAAACAAAACAGAGGAAGGTGGGGGGGAGGGGAAGAGAGTGGAAACCCTCAATTATTTAATTGTGGTGGAAGTGAACATGTTTCACCACCTGGGTATCTAGAGTTTACTTCGCAACAACTACTATTGGAGTTCATGAGAACCAATGGTTTTATTTTCCCAAATGAGGCCTGTTGAAATGATGCCTATCGACTTGTTTTATTCTTATTGTAAGGTGGGATCTTACCCGAAGATATACGCACGCCTATAGAGGGAACACCTTTTCACTGCCTCAAATTGTACAGCAAACCCATATAATTTCCGACCAGTTTTTCCAAGTTATATTTTTATTGGGGTTGATAAAATTAAACACTACAAAAATAAATCAAAGCAAAGTAATACAGTATTCACACAGATAAATACGACAGTCATGACTTGTACACTTTATTTATTCATGTGGTTTCATATGCATGCAGTGAAAAAGAAAGAATAATGTACACCTTAACTTAGTATAATAAACCAGGCTACATATCATTACAAATATTTGTATTGACTATTACTCATACAATTCTCAAAAATATAAGGAGTATGAATGTTTTCCCCCAAGATGTTTTCTGCTTTTTAAATATGTAATCATAGTCCTATAATAAGAACTAGAAAAAATATACTCAAACAATACTGTCGAAACATGACACAGTTCTAATAGCCAATCACAGTAGAGCATGCTGGCATGTTTAGTCTAAAATACAGAGATGCATTAAAACACATCTGTTAATTGAAAACCTAATTATTTTCTTGCTCTAACTTTCAATTCAGTTACCGGTAATAACTTATATACAACAAATAGGCAATACTATAATTATTCTTTTTTTTTGTTTGAACTTTTTCAGCTTAGTCTAGCCATTAGCCTTGTCAACATGTCTTTCAGTTTAGACTCTTGCACTTATTATTACTCAAAGTAGGCAATTAAATACCGAATATAAATTTTACAGGTTTTTTCTTAGCTCAAGATAAAATGAAGAATTTATGTTATAATTTACATGTACTGTTGAAAATAATGCTGAATAAATTAAATATAAATAAAATTGAATATATTGAATAAAATTAAATATAAATAAAATTGAATATTGAATAATAAATATAATAATTATGTAATAACTGTTGGATTGAATGATAATAGTAACCTGGCATTTATATACCTCTTCACACAAGTGAAGTCTCAGAATACGACACCTGTATCCTGCTATTAACAATATTATTGTTAATATTATTAATAATATTGTCAATATTATTTCAAAATAGAAAGACACACCATAATATTGGGGGTTTTTTTTCTGCTCATGCAGAAAAGCCTTTATTTATGTTTTGATTCTTTTCTTCTTCCATCCCAATTACCCTGTGTTTTTATACAGTTTGTCTCTGTGGCACTCTAGCCAATTTCCATGATTGGATCTTCATAACTATTGATCAATGCAAAGAAAAGCATGCTCATACACTAAAGATGGCCATAAATAAATATTACCGTAATTAATTCTACATATTATTAACTGTTAATCAAAATATATGAACTTAACACAAATGTTAGGGTAAATGCGAATTAGCATTATACATATCGTCAACCATTGCACTTAAAAGATTACAAATATAGAAGGAAAATCCAACTCACTTTCTTGGGTTGGGTACTGTTGTTTAATGATTAGAACTCTGCAATATAACAGCAGCTGGAATCTGAGTTTTGGTAGCACCAACTGTTTTTAAAGTACTATAATCACCTTCAATATAAACCATAGAATTTCAGTAAGACAGTACAGTGTATATCATAATGTCAAAAATACCAAGTCTGAATATACCAACAATGAAAAACCTATGATTTGTTTCACAGACAGACACAGTACATTTAGTCTATTTTCTCTGTGTTATAAACTCTTAACTGAAGCCCTCCATTTGTTCCTTGTACTTCTATATAATAGTTATACAAATACATATACTGTATATCATCCTTGTTTTATCTAATTGTTCATATTGCATTAAGTAATAAAACTTTCAATGGAGGAAGATTCTGTAAGCACCCAGCATTATAGTTACAGAGCCTAGAAGCGTTGCTGAAAGAAAATAAAAACATCAAACAATGTAATATCAGAGTTTTTTTAGCTGTTGTGTCTTTTAATGATTACAAATTTCATTCTATTCTTATTTAATTGTAATGAGTCAATTATAGAATATACTTTAGCATTAACTAATAAACTATTCAATCAAGTCAATGATAGAATATAATTAAATTCTAGAATATAATTAAAGCATTAATCAATGAACTATTCAACAAATCAATTTAATCAATCAAAATATATTCAATCAATAAATACATCATTCAATCAATTATTTAATATACTGTATCATACAATAAATCAACTGATTGTCGTCATTATCACTGCCGACACCGCCATCATCATCATCATCATCATCATCATTTAACAATTTTTAATATTTTATCACTAACATTTAATATAACTGGTGATAATAATCTTACCTCCAAAATATTTCAAGGACTCAAATTTTGTCGCTTCCATTTTAGCATTCAAGTTTGCTATTTCAGTGGTTATCCTGTTGTTTGTACTTTTTATATCCTGCTCTGATATATTATTCTGTTATATAATAGAAATAATCCACAGAATTATCACAAGATGGGATAAACAATTTTAATTTAAATTGAACATCAGTTACATTAGTTTAAGTGTTTGCATAGCAGATAAGCAATAGTATAAACTCTTGCAGTACACCACATGAATATTTCTGAAAAGAACTGATGTGTTAGTTTCAGAATAATCACATGGTATACTGCAAGATTCTATACTATTATATATATAGGCCTATTATTAGTAAAATTTCAGTCTCATCAGTTATATCAGTTTTACACCAAATATATAATAAACATTACAGTAGTTATAACATTTAAACATCAGTTATTTAAATTTAATATCAGTTATTTAAAGCATCAATTTCTTACTTTTGATGATTAGGTTCTTAACTTAATCCATACCTCCTAAACATTGTTATCAGATTTGTTACAATTTATGGAAATTTTTAAAATATTTTAAAAATATTACTGCTTCTTTTGCTCTACTCTTCTCCAGGTTTATATCCAGAGTAAAAGCATTTTTAAGCTTCACTACTTCATCCTGCAATGTAAAAAAAGAAATACTAAAATATTATGTTACCAACAGAGGTGTAATGAAGAGACCATATATAGGCACATCATGACCATATGTAGGCAAATGATGACTATATATGGGCATACAGCAGTTTTTGTCTAATTTGATAGTCTGGACAAGGGGTTTAGGCCTCTTTCAGCCCTACTCAAAATAGATTAAATGGATTAAAAAAAAAAACACTGAACTATATCAAACAGCAAAAAATGAATGAATATAAAAAATCTTTAAGGGATTAAGCCGAATAAGAATGACAATGTTAAATTATCATAGATGAGGTATAAAAAAGGCATAACAGCTGATTCAGAATGACAAAGTTAAATTTAAATGGTAATGTGATGAGAGTGCTGTTCCCACTACACATATACATTATGTAAGGCAATTACCATGACTGTGCAAGTAGAATCTGGTGACTAGCCAATGTGCTAGCTATTGGATGCTAGGCCCACCTTTACTGTCCTTAAGCCTCCAGCCCATTGAGCAAAGATTACAATTCTTTCCCTTATTTTAATTTATTATATGAATTTATGGTGATAAAATTTTAAATGACAAAAGGGAATAAAACAATCTGGGTACATCCATGGTTTAATAATATTTACAAATTTTTTATTATGGTAAGGAACCAATAATTTAATGGCAAAAAGCTTTCTCTTAAATCTTTATTTCCAGGGCATACATGACTAAAGTGAAACTCATTCTGTTAAGAATAGGTCTACAATAGGTCTGGAATAGACCATAAATAATCTATATATAAATGTACTGGACAAAATATGAATATGATTAATGTGTTAGAAAAGAATTGTGCTCACTTTAAGTTGCCCCCTAAGCTGCTGCACCTCTGTTGACAATTTCTATAAGATAAAAATATTATGAATTTTAAACTTTTTATTTAATTTTTTGGTATTCAATACACATACAGTAATACCTAAAATGGTTGGGAAATCAAGAAAAAAATAATATCCTATAATATATAAATTAATGTCTAGACCGTCTAGACCTATATTTAAAACAAACTATCATGATATGTATTTCATCACAAATACCATTTAATTTCAGTGATAATTTTTTAAATAAACAATTATAGAATCATAAATATAAAAATCTATCTATTTTTCAATATCTAAATTTCATTGGTAAATGCTTATTTGGAAACCACAGTAAAGGACAGCTTGAGGAAGTCAAAGACAGACGTTAGGATTAAAGGAAAGAGAAGTCAGTCCTCCACAGAGGTTCCACAAGATTAGAAGGGCCACCAGGACAGAAGATAGATACTTATTAAGGCTTTATGTGTTCATAGAATGTTCAAAGATTGATTGACTGATAAATTGTATTACAGTAGAGCCTCGATTTTACGTACGGTACGGGGGATTCGTAAAATAGAGGTTGGGTTAAATTTTGTGGTAACCTATCCGACAATCTTGGGATTTCCACGAAGACCCTGGGATCTTATAAGGGACAAATTTAATAAAATGGAAATAAAGTTAGGCCTACAGTGACTCTGAGCTCCTCTCAAAATGTTACACATTCATAAATGCCAAGAACATGGTTTTATAATCTGAATATCGCATTTCGAAAACTTTTTCGTTCGGTGTGGTATGTGAACATGTGCCGAGAACATAATGTTACGATAACATTTTATGCCGAGTACATAATCTGAATGCGCCCTATGTCTACTCAGCTTCGTGTAGAAAATTCGACCAGACGAGTTTTTCCATGGTTTGCCACACGAAGCTAAGGAGGAAAGCAATAATTTTGA